CTGATTTGATATATTGTGTAACTTTGAAGTTTCTACTCTAGATTATCATACCTTGAAAGAAATCTCAGAATGGTGTAGAGGTGTAATATTTATTTATTTATCAACTAAATTTTTACTTGGCCCCAAAATGTGTCTGTCTGCAATCTTTTAAATCGCATTATTGTCAAAGTATTGAGCAAGTTAGGAACTGGGGTTGTTTTTTCTTTATGCCACGTCTCACCTTCTGGTCTACTTTTCTCATGATTCTTATTTGAGTTTATAGGAACGGCTTTATGTTGGAAGCCTTTTTTTAAAGCTAGACATCCACACTATATATTATAGGGATGGACAGTATGACACAGTTTTCTCAGGATTTCATGTCCCTTTAGTCCATCTAATTTGTTTATGTCTAGTGATTCATTTATAATAGGATTTTAGCATGGTTTTAAAGAAATCGTAGGTTTATAAACACCTATGAACTTCTGACCCATTCAGCTGAACAATGTATAAGAGTAGCCTCTGTGTGTGGAGTGTGTGCTCTGAATACATTTGTTTTGTAGTTTCTTTGGGTGTGTCGTGTGCACCTTTGACCCTTTTGCTACATGTTCCTTTGTAAATTTCACCTCACTGCTGAAAGATATTTGAAACCCCCAGCTTTAGTCTAACCGCCCCAAAGTTTCCATTTTGTTTGAGTTAAAGTGAATTAAAGTAAAGGTGAAAGCAGAAAAATGGAAGCAAAAGGTTCACAGCAATATAGTTAAAAATCAACGTGACGGTTTCTAGATATCAGAAATTGGTGCTTTGAATGGTAGATCTGTAGCAGATAGAGTAATTAACTCTAAGGCTAAATTTATTTAATACATTTCAAATTGTTTGTATCTTTCTGGTGTAAAAACTATTTAGTTTCCATTTTATCTGGACTTTAATATTTATAGATAGTTTTGGCCTCTGTTATGTAAACATGGCGCCATGGACACACACATTCTAGCTTGTTATTCTGCCCTTCATGGGCTTTAAAACTTTTTAACATTTTTAAAAGCTCTAGGGGGTCTCAGCATTCAGGCTTACTGTGATCAAAAGAAAAGGTACTGGATCTACTTTAGTGTTCAGGTGGCCACGTGCAGCTGGATCTCTGTCCCACTGTGAAGGGAAGGCTAAGGAGCGTTAGCAGCTCCCAGATGTTACCGCTGGCATTTGGATTCGAAAGAGCAAGGAATTTATGGGAGTTTTAGAGTCAACGAAACTTTTTAATTTGAGGTTTCTGTATGTGGGGGTGCAGTTATTCCAAATGTTATAGTTTAGTGAGTGAAGTTCCTGTTTGTTTACAGCGTTTCTTTGTGTTTATTTGGTTTGCCTTTTGCATTAACTTTGCAATGTTGCTTAGCTGATGCACATCCACTCCGTTCCGTTCTCACATGGCCTCCCTCATAAATACGGGAAACAGTCTGTGAAGTAATTCAACATTTGTTTTGTTGTATATTTCCAGGTGGAAATTATTTCCAAAACCCTCTAAACCATATTGGGTTATATTATCGTGGTAATGATAAAAATTATTGTAAAAATTACTTTTTTTTAGTCTTTCTTGGCTGTTTAGCACAGCAATCATAACCTCACAAATAAAATTCTTGAAGAATACACAAAAACTCATCTTCAGCACACCAGTAACATAAAGTATAATTTATATCACTAAACTTCTCGTAGTCACTGTGTTTAATCATAGTCTTCAAATTTGCAATTGCCCAAGTGGAAAAAAAAAAAAAAGAAAATAAAGATTAATAGCAAAAAAAATGAAAATTGGAAAGAAAGTAAGTAGCACTTTCTTTTGGTCTGCAAATGTGACTTTGTAATCATTTGCAATATATAGTCCTCCAATATTTTTGTTTTGTTTGTTTTTTGGTTTATCATCTCAGCTGTATTTATGTAGTTACTTGTTGCAAAAATGTTAATCTGCATGGTGGTTATGTTAGAACCTGACCATATTCTTCGTCATGTTCTCTTGTGGTTTCCTATCCTGCTCCGCTTGTATTTGAGACATGTGGTGACGCATTCTGCTGATTTCTTAGAAACGCTTGTGCGTTTGGTGGAAACAGAAGAACATTTTGGGAAGCATCATTAAACATTTTGGAAAAAAAATGTTTTTGATGCCGATTAAGTTTCTTTCGATCATCTTTAAAACCTGCGTAACCATTTGTCTTCTCAGAATCTTCGGTTTTATAGGCTTATTTAAGTGTTTTTTTTAAACAAAGAGCTGTCCTATCTTATCAGGCTCCTCTGAACAGAGTGGAAGAGATGGTTTACGGTGCAACAGCCCAAGTGGGCTCTCTGTGAGGAAATTATTTTAGGATACTTGTCACAGAAACTAACAGCAAAGTAAAAATAGAACTGTAAATATAGTATTGATTAAAGTTTGGAAGCTTCTGAAGCCTTGCAGCTTGTATATAATTGAACCCCCCCCCCCAGATGAAAGTAGGTCATGCTTTCCAATGCAGCGCAGCACATAGAAGATGCTTACTGAAGAGATGCTGCTACGTTTTGAATATGGTTTTTTATAAACCAAATTGCTATTATGAAACAATTTTTTTTTACTTAATCTAGTCTTTTTTTCTGTTTCATAATCATAGATATGATATTGTCAGAACATTTTAAAGCCCTGCTTCACTATCTCTGTATATCTCTTAAAGGATCTAAAAGCTGGTTATATAAAAACACCTTAAAGATATAAACTTATTTGTGCTATTATATGCAGTCTGCTTAAAATGACTGCGAGGGAGCGGAGATCACTAGGAGGGTAATGACTTTACTCCTCTGTGCAACAAAAACCTTAAAAGGAGTGCTACTCTCAAACACGTCTACTTTTGCTCTCATTTCCAATGAGATGGAAGCAGAGTTAACACATGTTATCACAATGGTGCTTTCTGTTCAAAACTGTTAATCTGCACAGCTCATCAACTCCCCCTGGCCCAAAAATCGTTTTCCTAAAATGTACTAAAGGTGTTTGATGACGACTAAAGACCGAAATGAATTCACAGGTTTACATTTTCTTTGAGTGAAATTATTGCATTAATATGCTAAAAATTGTCAACCAGAAGCAAGTTTTGTTGGTGATGTTTGACCCAGTTCTGTAGAGGTGGTAGTAAATATAGTTACAGTACAAAATGAAACTCCCATCTCTTTAATGACGAGTGTTTCTTCTTTGTTATTTTGTTGTTAATCAAAATGAGTTTTATGATTCAGTTTAGTTCATTTATGTGGCCCCAATTCACAGCACCTGTCATCTTACGGTAAATCGTATTGACAGATTGGTGAAACGGTTTTCTATTAAAGGAAAGACACAAGAGTCTTAGTTGCTCTTAGTAATGTGATGAGGCACCAAACAACTGGCCAACGATTGGAAGCGCTCAACAATCTGAATAAAATATGAGTGCTACCCACCACACAAACAATGTTTTATAACCTTTTAAGGAAAACTGTTAAATAAGTGCACGATTGCCCACAAGGCTAGATTTAGCTCTTATGAAGTTTTATACAATGTTCTCGACCAAACACACACACACGCACAGTCTGATTATAAGGAGGAGTATATGAATAAATTCTGTCTCATGTAATTAGACACATGGGCCTGATGATGATTTTTTTTTTTTACTTTTTTTTTTTTTTACTCCCTTTGTTTGCCTCTCATCTTCTCACCATTGGTTGCCTAGAAACCTGCTGTAGGATGCATGAAAAACGGCAGGATTAGGTCAGACAAACCTTTGCGAAGTTAGTCATCTGCTGCGTGGAGGTGTTGGTGGGAATGTGGTCGGCGTAGCATAATGTTGAAGGTGTCATGCTCTCCTATGAAATGAATATGAAGTCAATGTTTAAAGGTCCACCCCCAGCATTAAATAATCAATAAATTAAGCTAAAATTGCTCAGTTTTCTATCTACAGATAACAACTCTGAGTTTTCATTCACTGTTAAAAACGAATCGGAAATAACAAGATAAACTTCTCAGTTCAGTCATTTGTAGAAATCCATTCCTATTAAGCCCTTTACATAAAATGAAATAATGGTGAATAATGTCTCGATGGAAACTAGAAATAGCTTCTGTACATTAACTAGGCCTGCAACCAACCATCATTTTGTTAATTGATTAATCTATTGATTATTTTTTCTGATTAACCGATTAAATATCCGATTGAAACAATTCTTTAAAGGAGTTTTTTTCCAGACTTTAAAAGAGAGGAAACCAAAACTCCTGAGAAGTTCTGGATAGAGCACATTGATGGACTAAGATATATATATTTTTAATCTTAAATGCAAAATGTTAATATTTTTTTTAAATTTTGGTATAAGTACTGCTCTCAATGGGTTGCACAGTCTCTATACTTCTGTTAATGATTAATCAATTATTGCTATTATCAATTAATAACAATTAATCTTATTGTTTTAGCCCTAATATTAACTGTTTGTATTAAAAACAAATGTGCTTTAAAATCTAAACACCATTTACAGAACATTGTCAACACATCTTCTGTTAAATTTGAATAAAAAGTGATTTCAAAATATAAAAAAAATGAAAAAGAAACCACCGTATGTTTAGGCTTTAAACCAGGGGTGTCAAACTGATTCCAGAAAGGGCTGTGTGGCTGAAGGTTTTCTTTCCAACCAAACCTAGCACACCAGACTCCATTCACCTCATCAAGTCATCATGTTCAGATTGGACTCACTTACTGAGATGGCTGGAGTCTGGTGTGCTATTGCTTGGTAGGAAAGAAAACCTGCAGCCACACGGCCCTTTCTGGAACCAGTTTGACATCCCTGCTTTAAACAGTCAGGCTGACGCATTATATAGGTGTTGAAGTCTTAATTTAAACTAATAATTAAACTTGAGCAAAGCTCAGAGAACTTTAAATCTGGTAAACAGTACCCTGATTCTGACATTGTTTACCACTCTCCATGTCCTTCTCTTATTTGCTTTTTGGGTTGTATTTTATGATGTCCTGGACACTAAAACCCGTCCCCTTGTGCTTTGTTTGCAGGTATGGCCTCACAAGTCTTGGTCTACCCACCACACATTTATCAAACCCAGACAAGTGCCTTTAGCAGCGTGAAGAAACTCAAAGTTGAGCCCAGCAGCTGTGTGTACCATGAGAGGACTTTTCTGAACAGCAGAACCCTTGGCATTGTGCACCCGACCAAACAAGCCCACTCGTTTGTGAATCGAGACTTGGCAGTGGGCCTGAGAGCACGTGGAGGGCCGCAGTACCCGGTTCAGACGGTTGTGGTTCGTGGCGTACAAAGACAACAGCCTGGTAAAAGAAGAGGGGGACCAGGCCCACTTGCGGCCCAGCAGCAGCAGCGCGAGACGAGGGTCGTCCACTCACAGGGCAAGGAGCAGCAGCATCAGGAGGTCAAAGAAAGTGGGAGCAGCGGTGGAGCAACAGGAGCAGGAGGAGGGGGAAGGGGAGAGGGCTGCAGTGGGGGAGTTGAGGAAGGAGGAGAGCAGGGTGATAGAGAGGAGAACTGTGAAAGTTTGAACTCAGCTGACAGCTCTCAGCGATGTGGGCTGAAACGTAAAAGTGAGGACTTGGATAACCGAGGGAGCACCATGCAGATTGTGGAGGAACTGTCAATGTTGCCTGCCATGTTGCAAACAACGAATGTGGGGAATGCAGCCGTTACAGCACCGGCGGTTGTCGGGGCTGGGGGAGGCCCCTCCAAACAGGGTGTAGGGCATGGGGGGTTATGTGCAACTGGAGGGACAGGAGGAGGGGATGGGGACTATCAGGTCGTACAACACGAAGTCCTGTGTTCCATGAAGAATACTTATGAAGTGCTCGATTTCTTGGGACGTGGCACGTTCGGCCAGGTAGTGAAGTGCTGGAAGCGGGGAACAGGGGAGGTTGTGGCTGTAAAGATCCTGAAGAACCACCCTTCATACGCTCGGCAGGGTCAGATCGAAGTTGGGATCCTCGCTCGCCTGAGTGGGGAGAACGCCGATGAGCACAACCTGGTGCGGGCCTTTGAATGCTTCCAGCACCGCAGCCACACTTGCCTCGTATTTGAGATGCTAGAGCAGAATCTGTACGATTTCCTGAAGCAGAATAAATTCAGCCCGCTACCGTTGAAGGTGATCAGACCGGTGTTAGAGCAGGTTGCAACTGCTCTGAAAAAGCTGAAGAGCATGGGTCTGATTCATGCAGACTTAAAGCCAGAGAACATAATGCTGGTGGACCCAGTAAGGCAGCCCTACAGGGTGAAGGTAATCGATTTCGGCTCCGCCAGTCACGTGTCCAAAGCAGTGTGTTCGACGTACCTTCAGTCTCGGTACTATAGGTGAGTATTTCATTTGACTTTTCTTCCATTTTACACTTTCATTGATGTCTTGAATTTAATAGTCTTACTACTGAAATGTGCTATACAAATAAAATTGCCTTGCCTTACAGGGATAACGGTTTCTAACTCAGATGGTAAAATAAATACATATTAGAACTGGAGGCTTCTGTAGAGTCTGTCTTCAATACACTGTAGAACATCCTGGATATTTCAAAGACACCTACTATAGACTAAAATGGTGCCTTTACTGCTAATTGATTATCAACGTCCCGTTTTTTTTGTGTGAAAACACTAATTATTCTTGACAGGTAATCTGAAATCTTTCAGGTGTTCTATGATGAAATTAGGACGCGATTACAAAACAACAACAGCAACATATTGATTAAGGATAAAACTGATACTGATGGTTGCCAAATTCTAATTAGATCAGAATCAAGACCTGCTATTGGACACTGTTATATTAGCAATTAGCCTGGCTAGCATTAGAAAAGTACAAGTCACTGTGTGTTTGATTAGTGCAGAAGTTTTTCAATTGATTTCCGTTTGGGACCCGCTGGATTGATGTAGTGGTTGCGGAAGGACCCTCCTCCATGTCAGGCCAAAAGGGGAAAATTTAGCGCTTACTCTCTATTTACTAATCTGGTCGAAATCTTAAAAACCATCGGATTCTGGTCACCATTTAATTTCTCCTTGCATGCCATTGCTTACGCCATTGATTGATCCAAAGGGTTCTGTTAGGAACCTGAGGACCAGGACATGCATCTGTAAATGGGGAGTTGGGAGTGTTAGCTTAGGGGTAAGGCATAGAGCTTGGAATCCCAAGGCGATGGGTTAAATGCAGAGGTAAATTTCTCCAATGTTAGAGCAATAAAGTTCAATTATTAAATGACAAATTGTATCAAGTCTAGAAAGGAGAAAAACATGTCTGTGGATGATAGATGTTCAAAAAGCAGTTACACTGAAAGATGTTTTTTAGTGATTCACTCCTCCTGTCCCATTGTGCTTTTAAAGAACATTTTGCTAATATCAAGGGGAAGTTGATAATTAGTCAACAGCAGATTGTTTGTATTGTGATTTTGTGAAAAATACATAAAAACAGCCTAAAACATAAAATACTAGATAAGGTAGCTATAAACACGGCTTTGGGCTTTTTGAATGCTCTGTTTTAAATGTTAGGTAAAGGTAATTTTATACTAACTAGTAAATCCCACATTAAATTTTGTAATACGGTTTCTTTATGGTAAAGTGGCATTTCTGTACCTGTGCTCTCAATGTAATGCTTGATTTTACTATTTGGGAAAAGATTTATTGGTTAGGTACAGTGCAGGGGGGTGTTTTAAGAGTAAGGTATTAGTCTATCTTTGTGAAGGCTTTTCCCCAGTCGTTTGTAGATAGTGGAGATGGTTCATTTTATGCTTCCATACGTTGGTGGTTCAAATTTGTTTTCAGAGCCTGGGAAGAAGTCAGTGGCATAATGTGCTAGCAGTCATTGTAAAAACCATTTACATAATATTTGAATTATTTTGATTGCCTCCTCACTAGGCGAGTGAATTAGCATGCGTTACTGGGAATTCAGACTAGCAGTGAAAATCGATGTAAAAAAGCAGTCGATATCTGTCTGAATTTGCATTTCCTGATGATTGTCTCATTGTTCAAACAGAGCGGACAAAGCTCTCATTGAGCCACACTGTGTTAGGGCTCTGTCACACCTTGCCGATTTAGCCAACGTATGCCTGACGTCCCAGAATCTCCTAAAATGCTTGTACACGCTAAAATTTCTATTTCTATTTTTTTTTTTTTTTGGCATATACATAGCATATTCATAACTAGTCCAGAACTTATGTCCAATCACAGCCTAACTTATGTGTAACGCATGGGAGCGTAATGCCTTTGAATTGATGCACAAGCCCCTCTCAGGCGCATCGCTGCCGAAGTACTTGCTGTATGTCGACGTGTTTCAGCGTATTTCAGTGTGGTTCACCGTGCTCATAACTTATACAAAACATACCCATAGCTTATCCAATGCATGGCAGCTTTTTTTCCGGATTTTCCGTACGCCAGGCATACGCTGGTCTAAATCGTCAAGGTGTGACAGGGGCTTTACATGTAAATAGTGGAAAATTCTTCTGGGGTATATTCTTTTGAATCCTTTCTCTTTAATCAAGCCTTTTCTTTGAAAGGCAATAGCCTTGTTGTGAATGCTCTTTTCAGTGTCAGGAAGTTGCTCAAAATAGAGCTGTCATACTTTTTTGGGGGCTTTTGTGGTCAGAGGAAGTGAACACCACAGCTGCTGGAGTTCATCAGTGCTGTCAAGCTTTGGTCGACAGCAGTTTCTCACACACCTCCCCTAGTGTAGTGACACAGCCTACGTCAATACCTTCATTAACATGTTAATAATGGTTAATTATGGTCTTTCTAAGTTTAAACAGTATTATTGAACTTTTTCCTGAAATGTTGGACTTTTTGTTTACCTAAGGAGGAAAGTCTTGAAGGGGTGTTCAGAAGTTTGTTTGCTTTAAATTTGTTAGACATATAATACAGAGTAGCTACATGATGGATTTAACTGGAGTTAATTTAACACAAGTATTTGGAAGTAAACACATTGATAAAGGATTAGACATTTGACAACTTATTTTCACGGTAAATAGATGTTTGTAGAGCAAAAAAGATGTATGGACGAAAGGCAGAAATGGTTTCTGGCAGAATGAATGATGAGGTAGATTACAAAAGAAGCATCAATCCAGAAATAAAAGGCAGGGAACTCAGGAACCAAAACAAACAGTCGCTCAGGGGAAAAATACATGAGGAATGAAGAGAATCCAGCAAAGAGTAACTGTGGAGGAGGAGGTAATATTGGGAGATGGAACAATGAATGGGGTAATCAGCTAATTGGGAGCAGGTATGGACAGAAGAGACTAGAAGAGAGCTAAGGGGAAAGGAGTAACCAGGGTAATACAATAGGGCTGGCAATAACTAATATGAAAAAAAGGGAAAATAAACTAATGACTTTAGAAACACAGAATGGCCAAAAGGGGAAACTAGAGGTTAGGGAAGGGACTTGAGAAATTTTGATTAATAATATTTAATTGGAAAATCATAAATATAGAGAACTACATAACAGGAAAGCTGATAAGAGAATAACTAAAATAAAAACCCAGGAAGAGTAAACTAAGAAGTAATTAAAAAAAAAGATAAAAATCTTAACAGCAACACAGGATAACCAAGGATCAAAGTAAAAATTAAAACCCCAAATAAAAACCTGTACCTAAAAGTCCAGAGAAGCAGGTATAACACTTATAGAAAGCCCATTGAGGTAAGTGACTGTTCTGCGTGAAAATGATCAACATGAAAAACCCAGTTCCTGTCACTAACAGAGTAGTGGTCTTGACTTTGCTTATAGATGAATCAACTGCTATCATTTCATGACATGGCGCTGTAGAATATGGCACAGTTCAAATCACCACAGGTCCCGCCTGGTGCAGTTTTTCTACTGCAAACTATCTACTTATGAATGACTGTAAAGTGTGTCGTGATGGATGAACTTGTCATTGTTTCTGTGTTCTTGTTGAACTATTTTAAATCCGTAAACTGTTCCAAAGCATTTTATAAGGGAGTAATAAAAACTCAGTACACGGCAAGCTTTTTGCACTAATTCATTTAAATATTGTTTGGGTGCAGTTTGCATGACTTAAGTGTTATGACTTAAGATTTAGACAACTTTTATTGTCGTTTTGTATACACAGGGTGTATACAAAACAACATTTCGTTTAGTATAGCTTTTCAGACAGTAGGTTAGTAAAGATTCTCTTTACTAAATAATTGAGTGTTATTATTATTATGTCCACATTATTTAATATATGCACAAAGATATGATCATAACTATCCGATGGAAGTCACACATTTCACCCCTATGAATTTTTATAAACATAGAGACTGTATTGTATTGAGTCAGTTCAATTCCCAAGTTTGTAGAAAACAGCATTTTTGTTTTTATGGCTTTAGAAACTTTCCTGCAATTGATAAAATAAATACATATCACACATTATTCTTTCAATATTGATTTTAACCAGTTACGGCCTGTGTTGCTGCTTTTCAGATAATCACTATTTACCTGTTTTGCATCTGTTTGTTTTGAGTTTTATTGAAGCAAAACTACAGCATACTTAAATACAGTGGGTCACAATTTGGGCTCCAGAACTATTATGCTGCTCTAAGACAACAAGACTTTTTGAGAAATGATAGAAATCAAATATAAAAGAAATAAATTCCAAGAATACAATGAGAGTCAAGACAATTGGACTCAAATGCTTTTTCCTATTCTTATTATTTTTTACACAGATTTTACATAGAAGTAAATACAATCGTTCAGCAGAATAAAATAAATTAAATAATAATTAAATAAATGGAAATTATATATTCTAGGTGACCCAATTTTTTTTTTTTTTGCCGCTCTGTACACTAGTGGCTTTCTCTCAGCGAGTTCCATAAAGCAGTCAGCTGTAGTGGGAACCATTACAGCTGACTGTAGCAGAGGTGACAGAGGTACCAGCATTAGTAATAATAAAAAAAAAAGAGCATTGGATGGGAAGGTGTTACTTAACTTTTAAATGGAAGTGTAAACTTTTTATGTGCGTAAGCACTTTATTTGTGTCAACTTCGAACAAAGACAATCAAAATACACGCTATCGGATGATGTTTATTGGCCTAAAATACTGAGTTCCCTTTTTTTTTTGATCAGTAGAATATAATTCATCGGGCAAATACTTTCATTCTTCAGATATTGGCCTTCTGACCAAGGGGAACATTTGCTACCGGTAGTTGTTTGCTGCATAAATGTTTTAGTTGCACAAAATGCTTTTGAATTATTCTGTGAAATATCATATTTTATGGACCATAAATGTAAAGAATATTCATATGCAACTATCCATTTTATTTTCGTACTTTTATATAACTTTTAAACCACTAGTTGGCAGCACACTGCCCAGCAGTGTTTTTTAAAT